TGACTACTAACCAGAAGGCTGGCGGTTCAAGCCTCCCAGCCACTCCTCAGAAGGAAGGCTGGGCAATCTACTTCCGTAGTGATACTGCCCTGGAAACCCAGTGACGGGTCACTATGAGTCGGGTCTGACTCGATGGCACATAACAACAACCACATCTACCTAGCAAGTTTCCTTCCCCTTCCCTCTTATCCCTGGTAACCAACAAAGAATGTTCCTTCCATGTGTAAACTTTTCCTTGACTTTTTACAATAGTGGACTTATACAATATTTGTCCTTCTGTGATTGACTTATTTCAATCAGCATAATGTCCTCCAAGTTCATCCATGTTATGATGTGCTTTGCAGATTCATCATTATTCTTTAATGCTGCATAGTATTCCATTGTGTGCATGTAGCATAGTTCGATTATCCATTCATCTGTTAATGGGCACTTAGGTTGTCTCCATCTCTTTGCTATTTCGAATAACGCTACGATGAACATGGATGTGTATTCATGCCTTGGTTCTCATTCCTTCTTCTTCTTCTTTTTTTTTTTTTTCATGGGTCAGTGCATTTTGGTTCTCATTTCTTTAGGATATATACCTAGTAGTGGGATTGTTCAATCAAATGGCATTTCTATTTCCAACTTTTTAAGGAAGTGCCATTCTGTTTTCCACAATGGTTGTGCCATTTTACAGTTCCACCAGCAATGTATGAGAATTCCAATATCTCCACACTGTCACCAGTATTTATTTTCTGTCTTGTTGGACTTTGTTATTATTGCTGGGGTGAGATGATTCCTCATTGTTGTTTTGATTTGTGTCTCTCTAACGGCTAATGATCATGAGCATTTCTTCATGTGTTTGTTGGCTGCCTGAATATCTTTGGTGAAATATCTGTTAATGTCTTATGCCCATTTTTTAATTAGCTTGATTGTCTTCTTGATGTTGAATTATTGAAGTTTTCTATAAATTTTAGAGATCAGTCCCTTGTTGGAAATGTCATTGCCAAATATTGTTTTCCAATTTGTAAGTTTTCTTTTTACTCTTTTGGAGAAGTCTTTTGACGCACATAAAAATTTAATAGAAGGTCCCAGTCATCTAGTTTATCTGCTGTTTGCATTTTTAGTTATGTTAGATTATCAATTTATGCCATATATTAGGGCCCTAAGTTGTCTCTATTATTTCTTTGATGAATTTTATACTTTTTGCTTTTACATTTATGTCTTTGATCCATCTTGAGTTAGTTTTTGTATATGGTGTTGAGGTATGGATCTTGTTTCACTTTTCTGGAAATGGATGTTCAGTTTTGCCAGCTCCATTAAAGAAACTGTCTCTTCCCCACGTAATGGCTTTTGGCCTTTTGTCAAAGATCAGCTGTCTATAGGTGAATGGATCTATTTCTGGGTTCTCATTCTGTTCCACCGGACTATGTATCTGTTGCTGTACCAATACCAGGCTGTTTTGGTAAGTGTGGCTGTATAGTAGGCTTTGAGATCGGGGAGTGTAAGACCTCCTACTTTGTTCTTTTTCTTCAGTAGTGCTTTCCTTATATGAGGTCTTTTTTCTTCCCATATAAAATTAGTGATTGGTTTTCCTATGTCCTTTAAGAATGCTGATGGACTCTAGATTGGGATTGCACTGAATCTATAGATTGTTTCGGATTTTCACAATGTTCAGTCTTCCCATCCTTGAGACATGCTATACTTTGACATAATCTAAAACCAGTAACTATCAAAATGCCCACCACTCACATGATGAAAAAATGAATTGTGCTGAGATTACATAATGTAACATATATAAAGCAATAAGAATGATTTTTTATGACTTACACAAAATATAGGAGCTCATGAATTTACTGTTGAGCAAAAGAAGCCAGATACAAAGGAGTACATATTGCATAATTTCATTTATATAAAAATTCAAAACTAGGCAAAACAAATCCATGGTGTTACAAGCCAGAATGTGGTTATCCTCAGGTGAGGAGTGCCTGGAAGGGACATGAGGAAAGTTTCTGGGGTGGGAGTAATGTTTTATTTTATAAGATGGATGGTGATCCCAAGGTGTGATCAGTTTGTGAAAATTCACAAAGCTACACATTTACATTGTTAATATAAAAAGTAAAGGCAATTTTACACACACATACACATATAAAAACAGTTGCCATTAAGCTGATTCTGACTCAGGGTAGCCCCAAGTATGCCAGACTGCGCTCCATAGGGTTTTCAATGGCTTATTTTTCAGAGGTAGATCACCAGGCCTTTTTTCCAAGGCACCTCTGGGTCAACTCAAACTTTCTACTTAACAGTTAGCCTCTGAGTGCATTAACCATTTGTACCACTCTGTTGTTGTTGTTATGTGCCATTGAGTCGGACTTGACTCATAGCGACCCCTCCTTGGGTTTCCAAGGCAGTATCACTACGGAAGTAGATTGTCCCATCTTACTTCCGAGGAGTTGCTGATGGATTTGAACCGCCAGCCTTCTGGTTAGCAGTCAGATGCCGTAGGCACTAAGCTACCAGAGCTCCAGAAAAATCATTACTGACTGTATAGTGTAAACTTTATTGGCCTAGCAATCAAAGGTTTTTTGTGTCTATATCTAGATTTCTTTTGCACCCTACCAAGTGTTTTCTTAAAAATACCCAACGTTTCCTCCGTGACCCTCTCTAGCCATCTGCCTGCCAGGAGGTCCTGCTCCCCACGTCATCTGCCCAGTCTATCCTTTCTCAAGGCCCACCCTCAGCGTCATCACCTCTGTAGAGCCTTTCCTGATCTTCTCAACAGGGTGTGAATTCTCCCTCATTTCAACCCCCAGAGCGATGTGGTTTTTAAAAACTGCCTTATTGTACTTTGGAAAATTATAACTTAGATATGTGTGTTGCCTTCTCTTCTAAACCGTAAGTTCTCTGTGTGTCTTTGAAAGATCTAATTCAAGCCCACAATATTTATTTAACTGAATTATTCTGTTTTTCCCAATTATTCCCCTTTAGGATATCGGCAGGAGGTCTGACGGTAGCATAGTGTCTAAGACATCTGACTGCTAACCAGAAGGCTGGTGGTTCAAACCCACCAGCCACTCCTCGGAAGGAAGGTTGGGCAATCTACTTCCATAATGATACCATCTGGGAATCCCAAAGAGGGGTCACTATGAGTCGGATCTAACTCAGTGGTGGTGAGTAGGCTATTGGCTTCGGGATAACCAAATCATTAGGTGCTTGTCCTCTAAATGTGTGAACTTGTTTTAAATTAGATTCAATGTTTTTTTCCTTTATCTATGTTGATCTTAACTTCCTGGGAGCTCTGGTAGCATAGTGGCTAAGGCACTTGACTGCTAACCAGAAGGCTGGCGGTTCAAACCCACCAGCCACTCCTCGGAAGGAAGGTTGGGCAATCCTACTTCCGTAGTGATACTGCCTCGGAAACCCAAGGAGGGGTCGCTATGAGTCAGGGCTGACTCGACGGCACATAACAACAACAACAACAACATAATTATTCCTCATGCCCACTTATTTTAGATAAATCATAGATATCACATCTTTAATCCACAAACATTTCACTAGATAGCTCCAAGATAATAATCTTTTAAAATATAACCACAACACCATTATTACACCTAAAGTATTAACCATAATCATATTGGTGACTTTAAGGGAAAAATTTTTTAAGGCTGCCTCTTTATTGCTTCATGTAGAGAGAAGATAAAAGGCAGAATCCTTTACCTATGAGTCCTTCCTTTCATTTGTGTTATTCCTTTTGGGAAAGACTGAACAAATATGTAAATTAGGATAGTTCTCTTTTTTATTTCCAACATATATTTAACTTAATGTTTAATAGTACAATTATCCATTAGAATAAGAAAATGTTTTTCCTTTCATTAGTTCTACTGGCAATCCCATTCTGTGTCGGAGCAACACAGCAGCAATTTAGGGGCACAGATGCTAGCTGCACATTTTAGAATCAAGAGAACTATGGTAACCTCTGTGATCTCATCCCTAGCTTGACCCCCAATTAAAATATGAGTCTGGCATAGAGAAGGTACCAATAAAGGAAAAATTCAAAGCAATCTATATGTGATAGTGAACACACTGAAACAGTTCTTATAAGGGAGGGACTACTGAGCCAAATTAATTCAATGATGTTGGCTGCAAAGGACAAATCAATTCTCTAAGAGGTCAAAGTAAGGGATAACTTACCTACTTTGTAACACAATGCAATGCACTGAGTTGATAAATGTTATTCTTATGTAAGACATTCCTAGTGCCTTTTATTTAAACATGTTTATTTAAAAATATCCAGTATGTTCAATATTTTAAAATGAAGGATTCATTGTTTAATGATTAGTCTTTATTTTTTATAGTTTATATGTCACAGAAAATATATTTCAAGTACTGGAGGCTGGAGACAACAAATGTTAGAGACCTCGTGTGCACAATGTTGAGATGGCTATTCTCAATACATTAAATGCTACTATTGAGTACTTTAAAGTTACAGTACCATTATCCCGTTTCAACCATCAGATGGTGAAAACTGATTAAAAGAGAAAGTCCAGTTACTGAGGAGAATAATTAACAGTGACACAAGTTACTAAGATTAAAACATGACAAGAATCCATGCAAGAAGACAATAAATGTTCTCAGTCTTAGATTGAAATTAATAAATTGAATATAATCAGTAATAATTTAACGGCAAAAAAGATAATTCAGGTTACTGATGATGTCAAATAACATATTTTGTTAAAAAGAGCTATAGGATGAATAATTTTGCATGTCCACAGAAATCTAAAAAAGAATCACCTAATAACATTTATATATGATATTACGCAATAGTTTTAGTCTTATAATACTTATAAGTAGATTATAAGTAAAAATAAATAAGTAAATATTGGAAGATGAAGCACTGTATTAGCTACATTTTTGAACTCTTGTGCTACAGTTCAAAGCCATGAGCATATTTTATTACAAAATTCTACCCACGGGGGAACTGAGAACATGACTGTGTATCAGTGAGTAGAAGAGAGACTCACCATACTGTCGAGCTGTATCCAGTGAACCTCATTGCTAGCGCTGACTCGGGACTGCTGGGTCTGCAGAGTGTATGGGAAGGAGCTCACCTGGAGCACCAGGAGGTTGAAAGCTTCCAGAACTTCTCTGCAGTTAATGACTCTATCAGCCAATCCATGACTGGGTTCACCATGAGACAGGGAGCTTGAAATGACACTGAAGAAATACCGAAAGTCAAGTTATTACCTCCTATTTTAATGATTAGATGCAGAAGCAGTCACTCAAATGGAATATTGTTTTAGTTCTTGTTTTTCTAGTTCTTTTACATTGGGACCAGGAATAGAAACAACTGAAATTTGATTTGGAAGAGAAAAAATTTAGGCTCCTTCTTACCTGTTTCAGGCTTGTTTTAGGGTTATTTTTTCCCTGCTTTTCAGTTTATCCTTGATATACCTCCAAAGAGTTGAGGAGGATCCACTTTACTTTGAAAGCTTACTGGAATGAAGGCACTTCTCTATCAAAACATGATGCTTACAACCTTGTAATGATCTGTACCCCAGAGAGGCCCAAAGCAGGAAGACACCCCCACAGTGTAAAATCACTAATTTCTGCCTTGAGACAGCTAGATCCACCAGGTCCAGATTTCCACATCTCTAATCATTTTCAGTTTGTTCAATTTGAATGTTCCAGGTTGCCATGCAGCCTCAAATCCCCACATTTCTTTCTCAAAGAAATAATCTTGATGCCCTGGGGAATTAAGTACACAGAGACCCAATATATATCCTCAGAGATATCACCCAAAACTTTCAAAGATGTGGTATATGAGGACAATGCGCTTCCTCTGCTCAGAGAACACGAGCAATAACTGAACGGTATTTCTTAATCACCCTCCCCCTTAAATTTAACCATTTATCTAAAATTTTATTTCCACCTACCAATGGCTCTAGATTTCAGATTATGGACCAAACACATTCTGGTTTCTAAATAAGTACTTCTGCAATTCTGACACTTCTATCACAGACACATTAATCTCAGTGTCTTCTGCAGAAAAGATTATCTATAAATGCTTTATAATGCCTCCAAATTTCTCTTCCCCCACATGGTAAGAAAGGAGCCCTGGTGATGCAAACGGCCACTCAGCTGCTAACCGAAAGGCTGGCAGCTTGAACCTAGAGGCTCCATGGGAGGAAAACCTGGCAATCTACTGTAAAGATTACAGCCAAGAAAACTATATGGGAAGACAGAGAGGTGCACAAGAAGTACAGACAACAAAGATAAACACTTTACATAAAACAATACTACATTATCAGTAATAACAAACATTAATCTATGGGTGGATCCATAGGTAAACAGGCTAAATGATCAAGTATGTCTAGGCAAAAGAGAATATACTCATGATATGTAAGTTTGGCAGGTGATATTTCTACATATGTATTTGTGTGTGCTATAATAATGTTATCTATATAATAGAGTTAATGGGGCAAAGTTATGGTAACTTAGCCACAGGCAAACCCTTGAGGAACTGAGTCACTGGACCCATGGGCTTAATTAAGACCATGGTCGTGGGTGGGGGACATCAAGCTCAACTGGCATAACATACTACACAAAACATTTATCGTTCTACATCCTACTTTGGCGAGTAGTGACTGGGGTCTTAAAAGCTTGCAAGCAGCCATTTAAGAATTAACAACTGGTGTCTGCTTATCTAGAGCAAAGAAGAATGAAGAAAACCAGACACATGGAAACACTTAGTCCAAGGCACTAGTGGACCATGCAGACTTCAGTTTACATGACCTGGAGACTAGAAGAAATAGATGGTGCCTGACTACCACTGTCAACACTAGGAAAGGGATCAAAATAGGAGATCTTGGATAGAGTCAGAGAAAAATGTGGAACAAAGCTCAAAATCATAAAAGAAAGGTCAAGCTCACTGGTCTAACAGAGACTAGTTACTCTTTGGGCCTTGAACTGAACTCACTCATGGCTTCCAGCCAAACAACAGGCATATAAAGTAAACATTTACACCTGGTGGGTACACTTCTTGGAACAATCAACCATGGATAGACCAGAAGGGCAGTATTTGCACAGGGAGATTGCTCAGAGGGCAAGAATGCATAGGAAACAAGGACATGGGAAATGGTAACCATAGGGAGGAAATGGGAAGAGAGCTGTTACATTATGGGGATTACAATCAATGTCATGAAACAAAATGTGTATGAACTGTTGTATGGAAAATGAATTTGTCTATAAACTCTCCCCCAAATCACCGTGTGTGTGTGTATGGTATATATGTATATATGTGTATATATATGTGTGTGTATGTATATATATCGACAAAATCATATGGGGCAGTTCTACTCTGTCGCACAGGGTCGCTATGGGTCAAATTGACTCAATGACACCTAGTAACAACAATAACATGGTGAGGAGAAACTATGATATATAATATTTTAAAAATTATTTGCCTTCTTAGTCCCTAGCAGCAAAGATACTCCCTTTTCCACTAGATGATAACTATAATTTTATCTAACCCAAAAAAACCAAACCCACTGCCACTGAGTCTATTCTAACTCACAGTGACCCATAATGGGTTTCAAAGGTGGCAAGTCTTTACAGAAGTAGACTGCCCCATCTTCCTTCCATGGAGCAGCAGGTGGGTTTGAACCACCAACCCTCTGGTTAGCAGCCAAATGCTTTAAGCACTGCATCACAAGAGCTCCATAATTTAGAAGCATAATCTAGGAACAATTGTCTTTACCCTTTCACACTTACTTTTCTTTCATTAATAAGCCCACTGAAGAAATATGGAACTCTCTGGTAAACTGGAGAGGGTTTCAGATCTGCTCACTTGCCATCTATTAAGTATAGCAGTCTAATCATTCAAGTGACATCTCTGGTGTTGTTAAAGGTAAGAGATGAGAGAAAGGCAAGGAAGAGGAGAAAGTAAGATTAGAAGGAAGAGAAAGAAAAAAGAAAAGACCTGAGGAGGAGGAAAGCTTGTAAGAAGGAAAGCAAATCTCTCCTAGAAGGACATTAATCTCAACTTCCTTACTGCCACTCATTCTCTGAAGCACCAAAGTTCCACAATGCTCTTAAGATCATAGTATCTCTAACAGGAATGTCTAAATTCAGCCACAGTATAGCTAAAATAAAGTCAATATTAAATTTGTTTTTAAAAATTGAGAGAGCAAGTAAAGAGTAGGAGTGTTACCAGTAAGAATATATCAAATATTAGGGCTGCTGGGCTTTTACATCATCACCTTTTAAATATATAAATACTAGTACAGTAGATAAAATACTGTATTTGCTCACTCTGAAGCAATCACCTCGTTAGTTCCACATGGGAGTTGTCATGAACTAGCACAAACAGTGTGTACGGGTTCTGTTTCACCCTTCTCATAAAAACTTCAAACTTGGTCTGAATCTCATTGTCTAGACGAACAACATATTTCTCTGCTCTCTGATGAGCTGTCCCATTTTCCTCCAGACCCAAATCTACAAGGACACCTGCCAAGAAGAAAAGAAGAGTTATCTTTTTACATACATGTATATCAATGAGACAAACTTAAGCGCAGTGTCAACAGATACTGGGTATTAAATAGATATGGAGATTTACAAGGAAAATATTTTTTTCTTTTTCAAATTGCCCACCACAATTCTGAGGAGAAAATTCATTTCCTAAAAAACACTCCTTCACTCTGGTCCCCACACCTGATACAAATGACAGCAGAATATTCTGATACACCCAGTGAAAGCAGATGAATTTATGAGACTGCTAATTAAATTCTATTTATATAGAAAGTACTGCTGCTAACAACTTGTATATGTTACATGGAAAAAAATTAGTTTTGGGTTACAGTCCTTGGCCAAATCAATATAATCATATAAGCTTCCCTTCCCCAAAATTTACCAATAAAACAATGTAAGAAAAAGAAAAATGAAATAGTACATCCAAAGACATCCTCACTATATTTAATGCTTTTTAAAGTAGTATTTTTCTCATTTTTGTACAGTGACAGTCTTGCACAGTATCTAGAGCATGGGAAACCTTCAGTGAATGTTGGGTTTATGTACCAAATTAACAAAATGAACTGAAGTATCCAAGATAACTATATTCTCAGTAAGTTAGAAAATATGAAACTTTTATTTCTGTATCATTGTTTCTGTCTATAATCTGCTTCTATATGCAAACATCTAAAATAGTTCTAGGCACTTGAGGCTCTTGTTAGGATAATTAATTAAAACACAAAATCTTCCTTTAAAATTAAGAGATTTTTATTAATTGTATTGATTCAGTGTATTTAATTTGTTAGTTTGTTTAGCTTGATTTCTACCTTTTCTTTTTAATATACAACTGGTTCAATTAACAACTACATGCAATTAGCACCTGAATGCTGTAATACTAAGAGTTCTAAACGGAAGCAAAAATAAAAAAGGAAAAAAGGATACATATTTTATCATATGAAAAATTCATTATACAGAACAGGTAGACAGAAAAGCAATTTTGCTTTCAAATATTTTTCATTAATATTCTTTACTCAGATTGCTTTCCATTTCTACCCAGTTGTCAGTAAACTTTGTTGTGAATCTTCCCCCAAATAACCAATCAAATATTTAATTTGGTAGGTATGTGAGTTTTTGGAAAGTGGATTACCTGCAAAATCCATTCAACATTCAGTAGCTATTTACTGAGTATCTAATATGTGTCAGGTACTGTTCTAGACCTGGAGATATAGATAGAATATGATAAACAAAAATCTTAACCTTATGGAGCATAGCATAGAGAGGATGGATAATTTTGATGAGTTTCACGATGGAGACAGTACCATAGGATAGAGAAGGAGAGTAGAGGCACGGAAAGGTGGCTTACTTAGTCTCTGGGGGTTTCTGCTTTCTTATCTGTAAAATGGGGGGAATAGTACCCATTGAGAATTAGTCTGTATATCCTAAGTCTACACTTAGGAAATAAGCAGCATGAGTTAAGGGCATTCTAGTATGAAAAGGCCATAAATTATCCCTATAAAAGAAAAAAATATACTTTTTGGACAATTAAGAGTTGACTATCTTTCAAACCAAAAGAAATAAAGGTTGATTGTATGCTGTGAACTGTTCAATTCTATACATGCCTTCACTGGGAAAACAAAGTTCCATGAATCCAAGAGGACATTCTCTTAAACAGAGCATGGTGTATTAGTACGCAACTGCGTAACAGAGGCCAGTTGGCTCTGCAGTGGTGAGGCTGGGTAAAGCACAAGTGCACATCAGAGGTACTTGATTGCTTTTTTCTAGCTGGGCATTTTTAGATCATCCTTACCTTAAAATTTTTAGACTTGCTTTTATTTTTAAGTTTTTGTTTCTTTCCTGGTTATGAAAGTGATAGATACCCATCTTGGAAAAACTGGAAAGTATAGAGATACATTAAAAAAGAAAAATTTATCCATAATCCTTTAACCCAAATAAGCCACGGCTAACATTTTTGTGCATTTTTCCTGTGTTTTTTTCCCTATGCATGTTGTGCTACTAAGCTCATGTTTTGTTAACTTTATATCCTGATTTTCTTTTCACTTATAAAGTAAGCAATAAACTATCATTATTTACTAATAAAATGTTTGTGTAGAAAAACAAAGTAATCCACAGATAAATCAATAATATGAGGAAGAATTTAGTTAAGTTGCTGGATTAAAAATTAATTCATATAAATGAGTTGCACTTCTATATACCAGCAGTGAACAGTTAGAGATGTATTTTAAAAACCATTTAAAGTAACAAAAAATATTAAGTATCTAGAAATATATCTTACAAAAGGTACATAAGACTTTTCTGGAGGAAATGAGAAAACTATTAATGATGTTAAAGAAGATCTATATAGAATTACAAAATACAGTTAAAATTCAAACTATTTTTTTAACTTGAAAAAATGTTTTACAAATTTATATAGCAAATGGCCAAGATAGTGAAAAAAAAAATCCTGAAGTAGAAAAGACAGATGGGTTTTGCCTTACCAAACTTTAATAATTGGAGAGCTATATTAATATGTTAAGAGTGCTTTTGGCACACGGGCAGACCCCAGGAATAATCCCACATATATATGGAAACTTAATTTCTGATAAAGCTTGGATTGCAGATCAATGGTAAAAGGATGGGACTGTCAATAAATGGTTCAAGAAGAAGTGGTTACCCATATGGAAAAAAAGTACATTGTATCTCATCTTGTCCTACGCTTGAATAACAATTTCAAATGGATTAAAAACTCAAATGTAAAACACAAAACTCTAGAACTCTTCAACACCTCAATAACAAAAAGACAAACAACCCAATTAAAAAATGGGCAGAAGACATGAACAGACACTTCACCAAGGACGATATTCAAGCAGCCAACCAAAATATGAAGAAATGCTCACGATCATTAGCTATTAGAGAGATGCAAATCAAAACAACAATGAGATACCATCTTGCTCCAGCACTAGTAGCAAAGTTCAACAAGACAGAAAATAACAAATGCTGGCGAGGGTGTGGAGAGATTGGGACTCTCATACACTGCTGGTGGGACTGTAAAATGGTACAACCATTGTGGAAAGCAGTATGGCGATTCCTTCAAAAGTTGGAATTAGAAATACCATTTGACCCAGCCATTCCATCACTAGGTATATATCCTAAAGAAGTGAGAGCCATGACAAGAACAGATATATGCACACCCATGTTCATTGCAGCACTATTTACAATAGCCAAAAGATGGAAACAACCTAGGTGTCCATCAACTAAGGAATGGATAACCAAACTATGGTACATACACACAATGGAATACTATGCAATGCTAAAGAATAATGCAGAATCTGCAAAACACCACATAATGTGGATGAATTTGGAGGACATTATGCTGAGTGAAATAAGTCAATCACAAGAGGACAAATATTGTATTAGTCTGTTATTGTAAAAGTTAAGGAAAGGTTTATCTATAGAAGGAAATTTTCTTTGTTGGTTACCAGGAGTGGGAGGGGAGGGAATGCTGTTAGATAGATAGAGATAAATATTGATTTGGGTGAAGAGAAGGGCAATGTACCAAATGTGAGTGACCAATATGGCAGCATTGAGGAGGAGAGAGAGACAGAGAGACGTACATGGGAGGTACAGACAACAAAGATGAACCCTTTTGCCCATACAGTACTGCGTCATCAGTGAAGGCAAACATGGGTATATGGGTGGACAGATGGGTGGACAGGCTGAACTATTAGGTATGTCTATGAAATAGGGAGTGTATCCAAGAACATGTATAGGGTTGGCAGACAATGGTCTTACAAGTTTATGTGAATGACCAGAATTCCCAGGTGTATAGTAGAGCTGACAAGGGGCAAGGTTGTGGTCACTGCTTGGTCACAGCCAGCTATCCAGAGGGACTGAACAGTTGAACCTATGGGCTTGGGACCATAGTCACAGGGGCTATCAAGCTCAACTGGCATAACATACTATACAAAACATTGTTCCACCTCCTACTCTGACGAGTAGCAACTGGGATCTTAAAAGCTAGCAAGCTGCCATCTATATGCAACGATGGGTCTCTCCTCATTCAGAGCAAAGAAGAATGAAGAAAACCAAAATTCACGGAAACAATTAGTCCTAGCATCTGGTACACCATCCGATCTGCAGCTATTATGACTACGAGACCAGAAGAACTAGATGGTGCCTGGCTACCACTGTCATCCACTTGGAAGGGGATCTACGTAGGAGATCCTGCATAGAGAGGGAGAACAATGTGGAACAAAACTCAAAATCATTTGGAGGGAAAAAAAAGGGAGGGGGGACCAGGTTTACTGGTCTGATAGAGCCTGATGGAACCACTGAAACTATGGCCCCTAGCTGCCCTTCAGGTCTGGAATTGAACCCACACCCATGGTTTCCAGCCAAACAAAAGACAGGCATATGAGTTGAACATTTACCTCAGGTAGATACACTCCTTGGAGAGAACAATCATGGGAGAAAGAAGGGCTGCTTATGCATAGGGAGATAGCTCAGGGGGCAGGAGTGCATGAAGGGATGGACACTGGGAAGAGGTAACTATGGGGAGGAAGTGGGAGGAGAGCTGTTGCATTGTGGTAAACTGTGGTCAATGTCATGAGACAAAGTGTCTGTGAACTGCTGTATGGAAAGTGAATTTACTCTGTAAATCTTCACCCAAATCACACACACACACACACACACACACAATAAAACTCTAAAACTTGTAAAAGACAATACAGGAGAACATCTCTATGACCTTGTAGAAAATTTTTTAAGTTCAAAGGATACATTAATCTTAAGAACATCTACTCATCAAAAACATTATAAAGAAAGAGACAAACCTCCAAAATCAGTAACTTGTAATGACAAAGAACTAACATTCAGAATACATAAATTACTCCTAAAAATCCCGGAGAATACAGGCAAAAAACATCCCAGAAAAAGAAACCTAAATGGTCAGTAAACTTGCGAAAAGACGTTCAACCTCATTAGTACTGACAGAAATACAAATT